TCCCTCTCTTCATCACAGATGCCATGTAGCCTCATACGAGCTGTGTGACCTTGGCCAAGTACTTCACCTCTTGGGAGCCCCTGGGCTGCTTAGGGGGTCATGGTTCTCAGCTCATGGAGTTCGGGCTGAGGATTTGATGAGAGAATGCGTGTGAAGAACTTGGCCCCTAGTGCACCCTCATTACATATGAGCTCCTTTGCCCTGAAGCCTGAAGAAGAGAAGGGACTGGCCCAGGGTCCCACAGGAAGCCAGTGGCTGCGCGGGGCTGACGGCCAGCTCGGAGATCCGGAGATCCGTCATTTCTCCCATAATCTGGTTCCTTTGTCTTCCTCTGGGCTTGGCGTTGGAGGCAGGGCTTGAGGAGTAGGGCCTGTTCTCGGAAACTCAGTTTTCTCTGTCCGCTCCCCTGCCCCCACCCGCACCACCCAGACTGTTTTGTTCCTGGCACTCCTGGGCATCGTTGGACGGTGCATCAGGGATGCAGCCAAATTGTCCATCTTGTCAGAAGTTGAGCCCAAGGCAGCAGTCACTGTCCCAGACACAAAGTTCCCAGACACCGGGTTGCGCGGGTCCCTCAAATGACCCAGAGTCTGACTCCTGCCAAAGTCTTCACTGGCTCAGGTGGGAGCAGGAAACAACTGTTCTGCCTGGGTCTCCTATGGATGGACGCTAACCGCAGGCCTGTCTACACCCCTGGAACCCAGGGGTCTTCGTGTTTTATGAGCCCCGGGAGAGGGGAGGGGAGATGAAGTCAGTGAGGCACAGAGAGGTTAGGAAGCCCTCCCAAGAGCACACAGCAAGACAGAGGCAGCTCAGTCCTTTTTTCAATTCTATTTTTTAAAATAGAATACCCCCCTATCCTCCAGGTTTATTGAGATATAATTGACAAATAAAACTGTAATATATTTAAACTCTACAATGTGATTATTTGCTATACATAAGCATTGTGAAATGATCACCACAATAACACCTCCATCTCCTCACATAGTTAACTTTTGTGAGTGTGAGACTGTTTCAGATCTACCCTCTTAGCAAACTTTAAGTATATAATACGGTATTGTTAGCTCTAGTGACCATGATGTAAATTAGATCCTCAGAACTTACTCATCTTAACATGGAAAGTTTATACCAGGGGTCCTCAAACTGTGGCCCACGGGCCACATGCGGCCCGCCCAAAAACATTTATCCGGCCCGCTGGGTGTTTGTGCCACCGCTGCCTGTTGCTTAGCAGCCAACTAGTTTTTTTTTTTTTAAACTATAGTCCGGCCCTCCAACGGTCTGAGGGACAGTGAACTGGCCCCCTGTTTAAAAAGTTTGAGGACCCCTGGTTTATACCCTCTGACCAACACCTCCCCATTTACACCCACCCCCAGTCCCTGGCAACAGCTTTTCTACTCTCTGGTTCTATGGATTCAACTTTCTTCTTCTTCTTTTCATATTCCACATATAAGTGATACCAAAGGGTCCATACAGTATTTGTCTTTCTCTGTCTGGCTTATTTCACTTAGCATAATGTCCTCCAGGTTCATCCATGTTGAAACATGTGGCAGGATTGCCTTCTTTTTCATGGCTGAATAATATTCCATTGTATATGTGTGTGTGCTGTATATGCACAATACAATATACATGCTGTGTTTTTCTTTACCACATTCATCTGTTGACAGACATGTGGATTTTTTCCGTAACTTGGTTATTGTGAATAATGCTGCAGTGAACGTGGGAGATCTCTTCATGGCAGGTAGCTCTTTTAGATAGCGATTTTATTTCCTTTGGATGTCTATCCAGAAGTGGGATTGCGGGATCATATGGTATTTTCTAGTTTTAATTTTGTGAGGAAACTTCATACTGCTTTCCCTAATGCTTGCCCCAGTTGACATTCCCACTAACAGTGTACAAAGGTTCCATTTTCTCCTCAGCAACATTTGTCATTTCTTGTCTTTTTCTTAATGGACATTCATGGGAGATGATAGCTCACTGTAGCTTTGCTGTGCGTTTCCCCGATGATTAGTGATGCTGAGCATCTTTCCACTTACCTGTTGGCCATTTGTCTGTCTCTTTTGGAAAAATATCTGTTCAGATCTTCTGCCCATTATTTAATTAGACGATGATGATGATGAATATTATTATTGCTATGGGGTTGCCAGGGCTCCTTATATATTTTAGTTATTAACCCCTTATCAGATATATTATTTGCAAATATTTTCTCCCATTCTGTAGGTTGTTTTTTCATTTTTCTGATCATTTCCTTTGCTGTGCTTAAACCTTTTAATTTGATGTAGCCCCACTTGTTTATTTTTGCTTTTGTTGCCTATGCTTTTGGTGTCAGATAAAAAAAATTATTACCAAGACCAATGTCAAGGAACTTACTCCCTATGTTTTCTTGTACAAGTGTTATGACTTTAGTCTTACTTTTAAGTCTTTTGTCCATTTTGAGTTGATTTTTGTAAGTTGTATGACATAAGGGTCTAGTTTCTTTCTTTTTTTTTTTTGCATGTGGATACAGTTTTCTCAGTCCCATTTACTGAAAAGACTATCTTTTCCCCATTGTGTACTCTTGGCACCTTTGTTGAAAATTAGTTGACTATATATTTCTAGGCTCTCCATTCTGTTCCATTGATCTATGTGTCTGTTTTTTAGGTAATACCATACTGTTTTGATAACTATAGCTTTGTAATATAGTTTGAATTCAGGAAATGTGATGCCTTTAGCTTCACTTTTCTTGCTCATCATTACTGTAGCTATTTGGGGTCTGTTGTGGTTCTATACAAATTTTAGGATTTTTTTTCCTATTTCTGTGGGAAATGCCATTGAAATTTTATAGGGATTGCACTGAACCTATAGATTGCTCTGGGTAGTATGGACATTTTAATAATGTTATTTCTTTCGATCCATGAACAAGGGATATCTTTCCAATTATTTGTGCTGTCTTCAATTTCTTCCAATGTTTTATAGTTTTTAGCGTACAAGTCTTACACATCCTTGTTTAAATTTATCCCTAAGTATTTTATTATTTTTTATGCTATTGTTAAATGTTATTGTTTTCTTAATTTATGTTTTTGGGATAGCCCATTGTTAGTGTGTAGAAATGCAACTGATTTTTGAATGTTGTTTTTTGTATCCTGCAACTTTACTGAATTTGTTTCTCAGTTCTCAGTTTTTTGCTGGAGTCTTGAGGATTTTCTATATAGAACATAATGTCATCTGCAAACAGACAATTTTACTTCTTTTTCTCTAATTTGGATGCCGTTTATTTCTCTTTCTTGACTAATTTTCTTGCTTTGGCTAGGACTTCCAGTACTATGTTAAAGAGAAGGGGTGAGAGTGGGCACGATGTCTCTTCCTGATCTTAGAGGAATGTTTTTAGCTTTTCACTTTTGAGTGTGATGTTAGCTGTGGATTTGTCATGTCTGGCCCTTATTATGTTGAGATACATTCTTACTATACCTAATTTGTTGAGAGTTTTTATCAGCAAGGATATTGAATTTAGTCAAATGTTTTTCTGCATCTATTGAGATGATCATATGATTTTTATCTTTCATTCTGTTAATGTGATATATCACATGGATTGGTTGGCAGATATTGAATCATCATTGCGTCTCAGGGATAAATCCCACTTGATCATGATTTTGTAATTCTATTGATTTTGGTTCGCTAATATTTTGTTGATGACTTTTGCAACTATGTTCATCAGGGATGTTAGCTGGTATTTTTTGTGTGTGGTTTCCTTGTTGGCTTTGGTGTCAGTGCAATGCTGGCCTCGTAAATGAGTTTGGAAGTGTTTCCCTTGACTTCAATGCTTGGGAATAATTTGAGAAGGGTCGGTATTAATTGTTCTTTAAACACTTGGTAGAATTTACCAGTGAAGCCATGTTGTCCTGGACTTTTCTTTATTGGGAGACTTCTCATTACTAATTCAAATTCTTTACTCATTATTGGTCTGTTTGGATTTCCTATTTCTTCAGGATTCAGTCTTGGTTGGTTGTATGTTTCTAGGAATTTATCTGTTTCTTCTAAGTTAGCTAGTTTGTTGGTGTATACGTGTTTACAAGAGTCCCTTGTGATCTTTTGTATTTCTGTAGCATCAGTTGTAACATCTCCTCTTTATTTTTATAGCATCTCTTTCATTTCCGATTTTATTTATTAAAATGCTCTCTTTTTTCATCGTCTAGCTTTGTCGATTTTGTTTATGTTTTTCAAAAACCCAACTCTTAGCTTTATTGATCTCTTTAAATTGTCTTTTTAAGTCTCTCTTTCATTTGTTTTCACTCTGATC